GGAAGCAGTTCATAGCCTCTGACTTCACCTGGGTGGTGACTGTACCTGCCATCTGGGATCCTTCAGCAAAACAGTTCATGAGAGAAGCTGCGACACAGGTAAAATAAGACAATAAACAGATGTACTGTACAGCTGTTTTAAAGAGAAAGAGAATTTATTTACCTTTGATTTATAGGCAGGAATTGCGGCCGCAGGAAAGGAAGACAGACTGGCCATTGCACTGGAAGCAGAGGCAGCCTCAGTCTGGTGTATGAAGCTGCCAGCTGATGGTTTTAAAACAGAAAATAACAGTGAAGTCACATTCGAACAGGCTTCAGGAACACAATACATTGTGGTGGACTGTGGAGGTACTCTATGTTTTCATAGTGCAGTTTTTCTTACTTTTTATGTTTTTATGGTTTGAAAGAGGAGTGAAAGAAGCCATCTATGTCAGCTGTGAAAGACCATTGTTGAACAGAGGTGGTGGTTTACGACACCAACTGTCTGCAAGCTATAATCCAGTTTTGACATCCCTTTCCAGAAGAGGAGAGAATGATTTAAAAAGATGTTATCACTTGTCACTTTTATTTTTAATTACTTCCTGTGTGTTGCAGGTGGAACAATTGACATCACTGTTCATGAAGTCCTGGAGGGAGGAGCCCTGAAAGAGCTGCACAAGGCCTCAGGAAATGATTTTGGGGGACAAACTGTGGATAAAAAATTCAAAGAGTTCCTCAGAGAAATCTTCAGTGATAGTTTGTGGGACAAATATGAAAAAGAGCATCCAGGAGAGTTGCAGAAGATGATGTATGATATCTCAGTTATAAAAGAAATTGATGCTGATGTTGATATCAGCTGCCCATATAACCTGGGTGAAATGGCAAGGGAAAAGCAGAAAATAGAAAAGTTTTTTGAATCCCTGAGAGGTGTTTCCTGGAATGAAGGAGCCATCAAAATCTCAAAAGAGAAAGTACGATCTTTCTTTGCTGACAGTCTGAATGGCATCAGCAAGAGTCTCAGAGAAATCCTGAAGAAAGGTTTCACCATTAAGTACATTCTGTTAGTCGGGGGATACGCTCAAAGCCCGATTCTGCGTCAGCATATTACCAATCAGTTTAGTGGTCAGTGTGAAGTTCTGTGTCCTTCTCATCCTCAAGAAGCAGTCATGAAGGGAGCTGTGATGTTTGGAAGAAACCCAGCAGTAGTGGCATCTCGAATAAGTGCCTTTACTTACGGGGTTTCTTTGTCTCATAGGTTTGATGAGTCCAAGCATAGGGCAGACAAGAAATACACAAACAAAGAGGGCGAGTGGTGTGATGGTATTTTCTGTGTACTGGTGAGGGAAAATGAGGAAGTGGGCTGGGATAAAACCAGTGAGCACAGCTTCACTCCAGTAGAAAGAGATCAGACAGCCATTATCTTTGCATTTTATCGCACAGAGAGAAAAATCCAAGGACTAATGTATGTGGATGAGTGGGGAGTAGAGAACATTGGTTCTATTATTCTTGAGTCACCTGACACAGCACGCGGCATGAATCGTGAAATCAAA